GAGAAATAGCGATAACAAACTTTCAATATCAAAATCCAAGATGGCTGCCTGTCGGCCATGTTTTGTTTATCTGATCAGTCTCAAAAGTTGACCTGCAAAGCTAAGGACCAAGGGGAACCTACATATGAAATTTGAGAAAGATCCCTCTAGTACTTCTTGAGAAATAGCGATAACAAACTTTCACTATCAAAATCCAAGATGGCTGCCTGTCGGCCATGTTGTTTATCCGATCAGTCTCAAAAGTTGCCCTGCACAGCTAAGGACCAAGGGGAACCTACATATAAAATTTGAGAAAGATCCCTCTGATACTTCCCGAGAAATAGCGATAACAAACTTTCAATATCAAAATCAAAGATGGCTGCCTGTCGGCCATGTTGTTTATTCGATCAGTCTCAAAAAAATGACCTGCAAAGCTAAGGACCAAGGGGAACCTACATATGAAATTTGAGAAAGATCCCTCTAGTACTTCTTGAGAAATAGCGATAACAAACTTTCAATATCAAAATCAAAGATGGCTGCCTGTCGGCCAGGTTGTTTATCCGATCAGTCTCAAAAGTTGCACTGCACAGCTAAGGACCAAGGAAAACCTATATATCAAATTTGAGAAAGATCCCTCTGGTACTTCTTGAGAAATACCGGTAACAAGAATTGTTTACAGACGGACGACGGATGATTTGAATAGCCCACCCTCAGATGAGGGTGGGCTAAAAAAGTCAAGGTAATTTTCACTCTCAAACTTTGCCAGGCACCATCTGAGAAAGCTACCAGCCAAATATGAAGATTCTATACCTTTCTTGAGGAGAAGTTGTTTGAAGAGTTTGACATATGAGACCTCTGTGACCTTGAAAGAAGGTCAAAGTCATTATCATTCTCAAACTTTGTCGGGCTCTATCCCATAAAGTCACCAGCCAAACATGAAGATTCTATACCTTTCAGTTCTTCAGAAGAATTCGGTTTAAATGTTTGACACATTTGACCGCTGTGATCTTGAAAGTAGGTCAAGGTAATTTTCATTCTCAAACTTTATCAGGCTCTATCCCAGGAAGTAACCAGCCAAATATGGAGTTTTATGCCTTATAATTCTTCAGAAGAAGTCGTTTGAAGTGTTTGACACATTTGACTCTTTGGTCCTTTAAAGTAGGTCAAGGTCATTTTCGTTCTCAAACTCCTGCTAATGAAGCTTTCAGCCAAATATCATGACTTTTGGCCTGTCCATACTTCAGGAGAAGTTGTTTAAAGAAAAAGTTGACGGACGACACCGGACGACGGATGGACTGATGCCCCACAATGACATAAGGTCACTTGCCCTCCGGGCAGGTGAGCTAAAACTGGTTGATCCTGATCAACATTCAAGGTCACAGAGGTCAACAATTTAAAGAAGCTCCAAAAAACTTTAAACCAAAATATGTCAAAAATTGTTTCAGGCATTTACATAATATTTAAGTATGGTGTGGAGGGTGTGAATTCGTATATTTTTTTTCAGGAAACATTTTTGTCTCAGAGGTCCAGTGTTTGGTAGGGGTCCAAGTTCAAAAGTGCTTTGGGTAACAACCTCTAAAAACTTTCGTCTCAAGTTCTACAAGGTCTAGAGTCTTGATATTTTATTTGTAGGATGTTTAGATGTTTGGCTATCAGGTTTGAGAAAATGGTTGACTTTGATAAACTTTCAAGGCCAAAGAGGTCAAATGATTAAAAAAAAAGTAGAAAATTCATTAAACCAAAATATTTCGAAAATTGTTTCAGACATTTATACTATATTATGGTATGATGCAGAGGACGCAATTGAAAAAAAGGTTGACCTTTATCTCCTATCAAGGTCACAAGGGTCAAACATGTCAAAACACTTAAGCAACCTCTCCCAAATAAGGAAGAGCCTAGGTACATGATATTTGGCAAGGAGCATTCATAAATGAAGGCCTAATGAGATTACAATGAATGACCTTTAAAAACATTGAATGAGATTTTAACAGTGACAAGAGACCCATGGGCCTTAACAGTCACCTGAGTCCTACAATATTTGTTTTTGTTGTTGAAATATGAAGTGGAGATAATGATGTCAATCTTCCCTACCAATTTGAGTAAAAAATAGTTAAGTGTAACGTTAATTTTAAGTTTGTCAGGAACATGAGTTGATCATTCCTAGACAGAGTTTCAGTTCAATCGGCCTATTAGAATTTTATTTTAAGTTTGAAATAGGGATTCTTTCAAAATGGCAACTGAAGCAGCCATATTGGATTTTTGATCAGCCTGAAAAAAAAGGAACACTTTGCCAGGACCATGAGTCGGTCATTCCTACCAAGTTTCAGTTCAATCAGCCCAGTAGAACTGGACTTTAGGTTTGAAACAATTACTTTCAAAATGGTGGCCATATTGGATTTCTGATCGACCCGACAAATAACAACACTTTGTCAGGACCATGAGTTGAGCATTCCTACAAAGTTTAAGTTCAATCAGCCCAGAAGAACTTGACTTTAAATTTGAAATAGTTTTTCAAAATGGCGGCTGTGGCGGGCATATTGGATTTCTGATTGACCAAAAAATAACAACACTTGGTCAGGGAGATGTCAGTAACATTCCCATGAAGTATCAATGAAATCCCTTTGACAGTATTTCAGTTTAAGTTGAAAATGTAAAATGTTAACGGACGATGCACGACGGACAACGACAGATGAAGACGGATAGCAATATAGGTCACTTGAGCTAAAACAATACTTTGATTTTATACTTAACGTAAAACAAAGCTTACTTTCAGTTCTATGATTTATATTATCGCTTTCTTCACAGAGGGTAAAGACAATGAGGTTATAAAATAGGTTTGTGATGAGAGACTAAATCAGTCCTAACAGTGAAAAGCCCGTCATATTGTTAGCCAACAATTTCTAATATTGAAATTGTAGTTTGGAGAATCATGTAATCCCAGTAGAAACTTCAAAACCCCTAAAAATATGCCTAAATCCACAGGTAATGTTAATCTGGCCAACTGCAAGAGCATGAAATGAAACTGCCAAGATTTGGTAGTTTCAACAAGTACAACTTGAGGAGAAATTGAAACTAAGTATTCATATAAATTATCCTTTGTCTTAACAGAACAAAGCTAGGTCATTAATGACCCAGCTCATCAGAAGACGAAACATTTTATCAAAACAAAGTAACATAACACAATAAATAGGGAACGAACTTCAATTCATATACTTTGTTCACATCACTTGAATTATTAATTGAGGGTTTTTTAAGAGGAATAGAGCAAACAACGTTTCTAAACAAAAGGGGAGGTAACTCCAGTTTATATTATTTACTCCCCAGCTAGCAGAAGTTCGTTGGGCCGAAGTCATGGTCGGTCAACATAAAAAAATGACAGTTTAAAGGCAGTATAATTTGCAATGTTTAGCCAATGATGGCACATCAGTTGAAATACAACCAAAACCATGTGTCAAAGATCGGCGCTGCTTCCTTTTTCCAATGTTCATCCAATGTTGGCTTAATTTATGTTTTTGTGCTAATGATTCCGATGTCTGACTCCTGATCATTAATGTTGATTCCTCATTTTGGTGACTTCTATGATAGGTTTCTGATGACCCAATCACTGCCATCAGTACTTCTTTAATTTATATCATATAAACATAAATATTAAAGAACAAACCTTCTATTGACATGAATCTCCACAACACTGAAAACATCTGATGAGTCTAAATGACCAGACAAAGAAATGTTGATAGAACTTGCTAATCGCTTGATCAGCTCGGAGCGAGTTTGTATCTCATCTGTAGCCGACCAGGTTATGTTGCTGACACCATGTAAAGGGCTGAGGAAAAGTGTAGAAAGAAAAATGTATACAATAAGCATCCTGTCATGAACATGTTATACATTTAATAACAAGAGGCCAAGAGGTCCTTTATATTACATGTGCAATCACACAACTGTTATTATCTGTGCTTTATTAATCCAAAAAAGTAATTGATCCACTAAATTTAAAACAGATTTCTCCATAGCAGTAGTTAATTGTACTCATTTAGGTAGTTTATATACTCGTTTTAACTTTTATCACGAACAAGGTCTGCCATGAAGATGAACAAAAAAAGTGAGCACTTACCTGACCGTCTCCTCTGATTGTTCAGTACCAATGGCTGACCTTAACTTGATGGTAACAAATGTAGGAACAGTGTTGTTTACTTCTATAGTTATTCCATCAACCTGAAAGAAGCAAAGAATGTTAATGTAGTGTCCTACTGGTATAACATCCTAAGGCCTGTCTAAATAACATTAACAAGAGCTGAACAGAGGGGGATGACAAGTATACCCTCCGCATACACGTATATTGTATAATGACAATGGAAATGTCATTCTCTGTATTCTGGTTTAAATTTTTGATTCTATTGCTTTTTGATTTTTGGGTTGGGCTACCTGAAATATCAATTATATGTCTCTTGCCAAGAACACATTTTCTCACCTGGTATACATCTCACACTTGTAACCTTAAAAGTGATCTTAAGTAAAGCTAAAGGCAAAATATCAGTACTTATGATTAAATGTCATTCAAAATATGTGTTAAAAGATTTAAAAACATTTCACCCCTGTGACCTTGAAAGTCAAACAAGGTCATTATGTTGAACAAATTGTATAGCCATTCATCTCAGGATGCAACTTGCAAAATATCCTTTTGTTTATTAAAATTAGGTCATTTAAATGTTTAAACATATTTGACTAAATGTGACCTTGAAAGTGGGTCAGGGTCATTCAAATGAAAAATCTTGATAGCCCTGTATCCAAGCATGCTCTTGGCAAAATATCAACATTCTTGGCCTTTTGCTTATTCAGAAGAAGTTGTTTAAAGATTTTAAACAAATTTGACCCCTGTGACCTTGAATATAATCAAGGTCATTCACTTGAACAAACTTGGTAGCTCTTAATCCCACCATGCTACTGACCAGATATTAACAGTCTAGGCCTTATGGTTATTCAGTAGAAGTGTCACACATAATAAAACCCTTTATGGTTCAACACTGTGACACACTTCTAAGTG